ATTTGGCCCCCAAGAAATTAATCCTGTCTTTTGTGCTGCATCTGACTTTGGCTGCTTCAAGGTTGCTTAATGCATAGATTGCATCTACCTTCTGGGTCATTCTCAATTAGCTGGCTTCATCAAAGCCGGGTGAAGACTTGCCTTAGGGGAAGGTCAGGGTTAGGTTGAGGTTAGCCACATCAAGATAACTAGATGAAGATTCCCCCACCCTCTCCAACACACTATAGAGCAAGCGAACTCTGCTGGAAGGCGAAAGAGAAGATAAATAACATTTTATTCAGCTGGCAGAGAAATTGAAACATACAGTTCAAGAGTTCCATTTAAAATATAATCATTAGGTTCTCCCCCACATTTTTATCTACTGCTTCCAGGCCTTATCTTCCTCCTTCATATTCCTTCTGCCATTCATTCTTTGTAAATGGCACCTGTAAAATTATTTCAGCCAAGTGTTCAGATAAGAAGCAATGAATTTTCCTTTCAAATAATCCAGAGTGGCACTTTAATATTTGGTATTGTGCAATAATAAAAGGGGGAAATATCCAAACAAATGCAAGAAGCTCTTTCTACAGGAAAGCTGCTATGTAATGGTGTATTTCTTGCAATAGAAAATACACTAACACCCGTATCCCGACAACCCAAAATCTATATTGAGCTGTATAATCTTTGTAACTGATGTAAATCAGGAGTGGAGCTGTGGGGGGGGGGGGCGGTTCTAGGCCAGCAGCCCCCAATCTTTTGGGGACCAGGGACTGGTTCTGTGGAGAGAGGGTTTTTTTCTGTGTACCGAAGGGGTGGTGGTGGTTTCGCATGCTGCCTGCATCCCGCGGATGGAGCTTCACTTGTTTGCGCAGCCCAATTTCTGGAATGCTGCAGCATTGGATTGGGGGTTGGGGACCCCCGCTCTTGGCCACCCTTATCATTTTGTGGGAAGGTGAGAAAAGATGGCAAAAGTAGTGAATTAATGTCTATGGAGATTCTCAGTCATCCAGGTCATGATTACCCCAAAGGTGTTTTTGCAGAAGGCAACTGGACTTCGTTTTTCCTTGAAGATGTTTTGCTTCTCACCCAAGAAGCTTCTTCAGAACCGAGGAAGCTGCTTAGATGAAAAGATAAAAGTCTTCAAGGAAAAACAAAGAAAGTCCATGTTGCCTTTTGAAAAAGTCCCTTTGGGTAACGAATTAATGGAGCTTTGGCAAAAATATGGGTGACATCAAAATTTCTTTGAGGCTCTTTTTTCCTGGTTTTCCTGGGGAATTTACTTTTTAAAATCTATGTTAGGGTTTTAATGTTTGCTGACTCAACTGGCGAGAAAGCAGGTCTTTGATTTTAGATATTTGGGGACTACATAGAGTACATTCCTCATATACTTGGATTACTTTTCTGTGAAAGCGGTTATTTGTGGTGTTCTAATACAAAAAGTGATATTTGATTTAATTTCCTTTTTTTAACCAACTTGTCCCTGGTAGGAAGATATTTAAACATGGAATAGAAATCTGTTGAATCACCAATATTGATGTAATTTGTTTGATATTTGTTAAGTCCATAATTGATTTTTATGTTGGAGATATAAAAAGCTTTGGATGGAAAATACGTGTGTAGAATTTGTCCTTGAAATTTAGGTAAATACCTAGAGTTCCTTCAAAACTTAACACCAAATAATAATGATTAGGACATTGGAGAAACTTACTGTATTAAATGCATGGGAAATAATTGTTTTAACTATTTTAATTGAATGTAAATTTAATTTAATTTTTGTGTCACTTCTAGTATTTTTGCAAGAAAATTAATGGCACTTTATTCAGTGATTAAAGACAATTCATGGCCTCAAAAAGATTGAACATTCCTGATTTTGAGCATACATGTTCAATATTCTGCATCTTCGGTTAAAATAACCCAATAGTGGGCAAGATACATTGCTTACCACAGGTACCAATATTAGGTTTCATAAACAATAGGTTATTCTGGTGTAAGGGCAGTTTCTTATATTCCTAAGGATGTGCTTAGGTTAGTCATCCTTAGCTTCTGATAATTTGTCAAGCAGTGAGTTGAATCAAGAAACTTTAAAAATATTTTAAAACTGCATGCTAATTCAGTGTGGACAGCTAATCTCAGGATATACCTAATTAAAAGGACTGAGTATATATCAACTACTTGTTAAAATATTTTAAGTTCTAGTATTTGATAATGGTAAAGTTACTGTGTAATTGATTCACTGCTTACCTACATGTTCTGACTTCTTGACATAGCCTGGTATTTCTCAACATTTTTCCATGCCTTGTGTCAGTAATTCAACATGTTCAGGCAACGATTAGGACTCGACTTCTGACATCTCATAGATCCCACTTTCCTTAAAAAAAAGACTAAGCACTGAGGGAGGAGTTGCTATGCTAATTTTTAGGAGCACTGACATCTTGGGGGCATTGTGAGGAATAAAAATGGGCTTCCCAGCAGATGTATTTATTTATTTATTTATTTTGTGAAGCGATTATAAGATAACAGGTATAAGTATAAATATAGTTATGAATACATGAAATGGATACATGTAAGAAAAAAAAATAGGACAGGGACGGTAGGCACGTTGGTACGCTTATGCATGCCCCCTACAGACCTCTTAGGAAAGGGGTGAGGTCAACAGTCTTAGACCTTAGACAGTCTAAGGTTACAGTTTTTGGGGTTTGGGGAAGAAACCACAGAGTCAGGTAGAGTATTCCAGACATTGACCACTCTGTTGCTGAAGTTGTATTTCCTACAATTAAGTTTGGTGTGGTTAACCTTGAATTTGTATCTATTGTGTGCTCTTGTATTGTTATGGTTAAGGCTGAAGTATTCATTGACAGGTAGGACATTGCAATGTATGATTTTATATACTATACTTAGATCGGACCGAAGGCGGCGTAGTTCTAGGTTTTCTAGGTCTAGAATTTCAAGTCTGGTGGCATAAGGTATTCTGCAATGAGTAGAGGAGTGGAGAACTCTTCTTGTGAAATATTTCTGGATTTTCTCAACTGTGTTAATATCAGATAGGTAATGTAGGTTCCAGACTGATGAGCTGTATTCGAGTATTGGTCTAGCAAATGTTTTGTATGCTCTAGTCTAGTTAGTAGTGTAATATTACCAGAGAAAAAACTACGTAAGATTAGGTTAACAACTCTTAACGCCTTTTTGGCTATGTACTGTAGTTACAGTGGGCTCTAGCACTTAGATAATTAGAGATGAGTACTCCAAGATCCTTGACAGAGTTTGGATCATCAACAAGGTCTTGATTATTCAGCCTGTATTTTATTTTCTGATATTTTTTTTGCCAATATGTAGGACAGAGCATTTATTTGTTGAGATTTGAAGTTGCCATTTGTTTGACCATTCTGATACATAGTCAAGTTCTTTTTGAAGGGTACCAGTATTGTCTGTGGTGTTGAATAGCTTTACATCATCAGGGAAGAGAATGCAGTTGCTCTTAATATGATCACAGAGGTCATTTATGTAGAGTATGAAGAGAGTTGGTCCTAGAACACTGCCTTGGGGGACACCACTATTGACAGGTACAGAATTTGACTGTATAATCACTATGTATCTTTAACAAGCTCATAGCACTGGGCAGGGAGTAGATTGGAGGTAGATGCTGCCTTTGAAATGAACCCACATGACAACATTTTTCCAAAGGCAATCTCAAACACAACTCGCCATGGCCACTTTTGAAAAAACTCTGGTTAATTTTGCACAATTTCAATACTTACTTTTTTTTTTTTTAAAGAAAAGTCCAATGTTGCAATTGAATGCATGATCAACCTTAGTTAATAATTACAATTAGTAAATCACATTTTACTTGATTTCTAGAGTTATGGAAATTTTGTATTTTTATTACTAAAATCAATTTTTGGCTGGGACAACTGGATGGCTCTTTCACTCATCATAGTATGATAGTTGTATGTAACAAATATTGAACCTTGCAAAGAAACTGGGAGGAAAGCAAGCAAAATAAATAGTTTAAAGGAATATTCTATTTTTAAAATCTTAATATTTGGGTTAAAACTGGCCATGTAGTACATAAGTTGAATTATTATTATTATTATTTATTGGGATCTTCTACAAACAATTTAAAGTATGAGTCCAGCTCTTTTTGCAGGCTGCCCTTTATAGTTTTTGAACATATTATGGACTATTTCTATAGTCAGATTCTTTGATTTTTTAAAATAATTTCCAGTGATTTCTTAATCTAAGAGTTTCTTTCCTATTACAAGTGACCAAAAATGATTACATGAAAGAAAAGCACATGCTTTCTTATACTTCATCCTTCCTTCAAGTAATAAACATGTTGTTGCCATCATTTTGCACTTGATATCATTGTATGAAATAATTCTGAGAAGCTTTGATTTGCCTAAAAGCCAAGTAACAAAATTTTGTTTTGGACCAGAAGACCAAAGAGATTGTAATCCCCAATCTGCTATTCTGGTCCAAGGTAACCCTGTGAAAGTTTTAGCAAAATAGAAACCAGGTCCCAACCTTGGTGATTCTAATCCAATGCTGTAGCCTAGTTTTTGCCCATCTCATCTTCACCATCATGTTTGTTTGATGATACCATCATCATCATGACAAATGTTGTAGGCCATGATATCTGGAGAATGCCACATTGGCAATACTGCCCTAGTCATTATTATACAAAATGGTTCTTGTTGAAAATGCAGTATTAAATTATGAAGAGGAATTTCTATACAAAACTATAATGAAACGTTCACGTTGGAAAGACTTCAATATTGGTTCCGTAAAAAAACTTGTTAGTGTTTCCAGTTATGGAACACAGAGATCAGTTTCATTCATTGTTTGCATCTGTTTTTCGGTGAGATAACAGAGCATACCAATCATTGTTTTTAATTGTTGCATTGTAAGTTTTTTAAATTATTAGTTTTTTGTCTCCCTTCCTATATAGGATTAAAATGAGCTACCGGTAAAAAAATGGTATTTCAGATATGATAGCATGCTTTTTTTGTATTTTTAAACCGCAGTAAAAACCGGCTTGTGACTATAGTGCCAAGCGATGCTTCCTTTAATACCAGAAGAGCTTACACAAGTGAAGATGAAGCTTGGAAGTCTTACCTGGAAAACCCCTTAACAGCAGCTACTAAAGCTATGATGAGCATCAATGGAGATGAGGACAGTGCTGCTGCTCTGGGATTATTATATGACTATTATAAGGTAGGGAATAAGATGCTGAAAATGGGTTTTTGTACCTTATGATTCTTGACACTTGACAAATGTATCTTTTCTTTTATGTACACTGAGAGTATTTGCACCAAGACAAATTCCTTGGGTGTGTCCAATCACACTTGGCCAATAAAGAATTCTATTCTATTCTATTCTATTCTATTCTATTCTATTCTATTCTATTCTATTCTATTCTATTCTATTCTATTCTATTCTATTCTATTCTATTCTATCAGGTAGATCTGTTGCATTTCAATAAAACTGGCTCTAGTTGCATTTCCAGACTCAATCCAAGTGGTTGATGCGAGGATAATTGATTTGACACTTAACTTATGTGTTTTACGAAGTGAGCCACCTGGAGTCATTATATGAGATACACTATGATAAGTCCTGGAAATATATAAATAAGTCCTGGAAATAAATAAATTAACCAAAGGATATATTTTAGAACTAGTTGTAATCTGTCCTTGATGTGCTTTCATGTGATCCACAGACTACCAAAGGCCAAGTACTGTAAAACTGATCTAAAATTTTAGATCTGGTCATCAATTCTAACTAAGTTCCACCACTATCATTAAGGAGCCCTTTATATCCTTTATACAACATTCAACAGTTGTATATCCTGACATTTCAGGTTCCAAGAGATAGAAGATTATTGCCTGTTAACAAAGTGAGTGACAATCAAGAAGACCAGGACAAAAGGTACAATATCTCTAAATCTCTCTCTCTCTTTCTGTATATGCAGTATGTGTGAAGGGAGTTTTTATCTAAAGATAAAAATAAAATTAGCCAAGTTTTTTAAAAATCAAACTGAAAGTGTTGGAATTACAGAAGATCATAGATTAAGCATTGTAAATACTGGAGGTTTTTTAAAAAAAGAGATTGAATAACCTTTTGTCTGAAATGGCATAGGATTTCCTGCTTGACAGGGTGTTGGATCAGAAGACCTCCAAGGTCCCTTCCAACTCTTTTATTCTATTAAACATTTTCTTAAATGTTAAATGCTGTTTTATATTACTAAAAAGTTTTAACTGCATTTGCCACTCCCCTCCCCATAAGGGTGGCACATTCAATCAGCAAGAGCACCCTACCCATGGTATCTTGTTCTGAGAAGTGCTCTTCTGTCACATGAGGTCCATGTTCCAGAAGGAACACTCCTGGCTGTTTCTTCCACAGCTAAAGCAACAGCAGCATTCCATGGTGGACTGGTAGACAGCGGGCAAGCTACCCACGGAACTGTTACATTCATGATACTTCAGATGACTTATTGTTTTTTCTATACCGTCCTTCATAAATAAGTTCCAGGATTGTTTGCAATATTAATCCAAAGCATTATAAACATCAGGGCAGCAGCCTGGAGTATTTTTTTTAGTCCACCTTCTTTGAAGGAAGTCAAATTTGACATTCATAATTCTCTCCTTCCACTTAGCCCAAGGTTACGAGTGAATTTCATGACTCAAGGCAAATTCAAATGTAGGGCTCCCTGTTTTAGTCAAACACAGATATCAACACCATGCTAATAACATTTAATTAAATAAGCGATTTGATTATTTATTTGCTTGCATTTAATCTATTTGCCTCCTCTCAAATTTTGATTTTACTTGCTGTATTTTTCCCCTCAGAAACTGTCTTTCCACCAGTGAAACACAAAGTAACTTGAGCAACAATGGTGAAAACAGAGTCCAGGTCTTGAAAACGGTGCCAGTAAATCTCTCTGTGAACCAAGAGCAGCTGGATACTTCCAAAAGGGAGCAGTTCAGTTCAAATGTATCAGGAAGCCCATCCTCCATTTCTGTGACTGGAGTGATGGTGGTAAAAGCAGAGGAATATACCCCAGTTTACATGACACCGTCAGTGCATTATGCCAGGGGAGAAAATGAAGAACATCGGGGGGTCATATTTGAACATCCACATTACGAAGTGCCCACCATCACACCCCATTCCTATATGAAAGACGATCAACGCAGCACTCCAGACAGTACTTATAGTGATACCTTTAAAGATGGAGGAACAGAGGTACGTCTATTATTTTGGGCAATGTGGGAGCAGTTTTTTTATTTTTCTCAATGGAAATCAGGGCAGTTCATTCACTTTATCACCCTAATAAGCCAGTGATTTAGGCATAACTGAGAAATAAACTCTAAAACAATGGCTTTGGATAATGGATATTCCTGAGTTGCCAAGTGGGATAAATTCCATCTTTGGAAGATGCATTCCAAGTGTTCCTCTCCACAGGCAGAAGATGACTAGCTAGAAAGTCTTTCAATGCTGTTATAGGTTTGCAGGATTATCTCTGCAACCGAGGCTAATATCGGTGCTCATGTTCAGTGTTAATGTCAATGGAGGTGGTTCTTCAAACAATTTGGTGTCATGACAGGAAGCGCATATTACAGCCAGCAGTGTAAATTGAATCCCAATGCAGCTCGAGGAACAAAGATGTAACATGCGCTAATCAAGGAGTGCACATAATGGGATGTGCTGCCATATTCCATAGCAGACATAACTTCTGAAGGCTCTTCAAGGACAGCCCCATGTAGAGTACATTGCAATAGTCCATTTGAGAGTTTTTAAAAAAATTATTCAAAGTACTTTTGAGATTCAAACAATCTTGAATACAGGTATTTATAAATCTACACTTGCCTCTTTTAAAGTTATCTTGATATTTTGTATCACATATGAGAGTTTTAGAAAAGTTTTTGTCTTTAGATCTATTGGATTGGAGCTAGTCAAGTGGAAATCAGTAGAGCTTAAGTTAGTCATGACTTTCTGCTCAACTACTCTTGATATATATAAATATTATTTCTTCATCTTTCAGAAATTTCGCAGTAGTTCAGTGGGTCCCGAGGAATATATTTATGAACAAACAGCCAAGTAAGTATTGACAATGAGAAAATACTGAAGAAAATACTAGATTTATAAAAAACTTTTAATTGGCTTCAGGCTATAAAGTTGCATGATTTTGCTTGGCCATTTATTATTAAGAAGACTTTTTAAATTTGCATTCAGCATACTCCGTCTCTGTTTTCTTCTCCTATCTAAATGAAATTCAGAAGAAGAAATATATCTTGTAATGAGATCCAGAAGAGGTGCATTTTATCCATGTAATTTGTGCCAGATAGCAAAGTGACAGTAAGAATTGGAAAATTTCTTCTCCACATAATTTTGGATGGCCAAAGGGAGATATCTATGGCTGTGAGAGTGATTTCTTCATCTTACTGTTATACGTGAATGTAATGTAGATGTTACCTTGCACCCAACACTATCATTCCACCTGGAAAGAATATGGTAAGAATCAGTTCTATCTACCCAATTGCTGGATTCACTTACAAGCAGAAAGGGCTTCACAGGAAATTTTGTAGTTATTAAGGCTAAAATGAAAATGGCTGGCATCTTGGAGCCGATGCTTTCTGTGCCATTCAGCCTGAGCAAGGCTTTACTAGATCTTTGTGCAAGAAGGGCAGAAGTGGAATAGGGTTCTGATAACCAGGTCTTTGAATTGATGACAAAATAGCTATTGGTAGGTAATGCCTTAAAATTGGTGAGATCCTGCAATCCTACTAGCAGTCTAGATGCTGCATTTTGTATCACCTACAAAGGCAGATGCACACAAAGTGCAGTCCAGTGATCAGGATGAAGGTTAACTATCTTGGAGCATCTGATCCAAGTAGGGTCATAACTGGTACATCATTCAAAACTGGATGAAGGCTCCTTAGCCACATCTTCCACTGGCTACTTAATCAGGAACCAAGAATCCAGGAGGAATGCCAACACTTCTTGAAAAGGAAGCCCAATCCTGTAAAGAATAACTACCAGGACAGATATCTCTGTATTACCCAGGTATTTATTGACAAATAGCAACATGATAAGATTTAATCCGAGCTTGTTTTGTTCTATCAGATCTTAACAAACTCCAGCCACCAGTTCCAGATTTCATGGCATCTTCAGCACAGCCTGGGGTGGTAGAGAATAGGGAGTCAGAGAATAGATGGGGGCGGGGCCAGTCAGTGGTGGTATTCCAAACTACTCAAAATTTCTGCTACTGGTTCTCCAGAACTGGTCAGAACCTGCTGAATACCACCTCTGCTTCAGACATTTGTCTCAGCTAACCATTCATGCCATCTTTGGTTTCTTTCCCTATCACTTAGTTTTCAATCCTTTAATTATCCGTGTTGTCCTTCTCCAAACCTGTTCAAGAGGATCTGACTCTTTCTTCAAATGTGATGATCAGAATTGAATAAAATACCTGAACATGGTAAAATGGAACAATGATTCCCTGTGATTTAGAAACTGTATTTTCACTGATATAGACTAAAAAGCATTCAGTTGTAAGTGCCCTAATTTGGATTCCTGCACAGCTGGAGTCACGGTCCCTTTGAGGTTGTTGAAAACACGGATTGTGTGGACCAGAAGTCAATTGTACTGTGAATTTTCATATTTTTAAGCATTTTTATGCAGGGGTTCTCGTGAGACCTGAAAGTTATTTCAAGTTTCCAACAGAGTAAAAAGATTAAAAAAGACTGCTTTAAACTCTCCAGAGTCTTCTATCATTCATCTTCATTGGATAAATCTAGGTTAAATCAAATTATGGGAGAAGGAAGGGCATTCACTATTCACATTCTTCACATGCATAATTTTCAAAATTTCTACCATCTTGATCATTTTTTTTTTCAAAATGAAAAAATTGCAATTCTAAACTTCATTTTATGTATAGCCATTTCAGTATTATATTAGTTTTTTGAGAAGCACGATTTGAGGCTTGTCCAATATCTTAAATGTATCCATAAAGTACATTTAGAAAGACATTAAAATATTGGTTTTGGTTTTGATCCCTTTCCTAATGATTCATAGTATGGAATTCACCTTCATAGTTGTGTGACATTGTATTGACATTTTTATTGAATTAGCTTCTAGATCAACCGAGGTCATCTGCATGTATGTGAAGATTGGATTTCCCCCCTCTAATGTGCATTATATTGAGATTTGGATCAAAGCACATTTCCCTTCACTTTTTCCTTTATAAATATAGTGGTGTGGAGGAATGCATTACAAAAGTATTTTCTGTATTACCTTCAGCATATTTTCTTTTTAAAAAAGCAAAAGATATCCTTTCTCCTTTCTTTTATTTTCAGAACCTTTCTTAAACAAGTGAAAGAGAGGAATATTTTCAATATAATATAGGCTATTTTGTATAATTAGGTTTCAAAAGTAAAGCATTTGATCAAATAATTTCTTAACAGAACCAAAAGTGTATTTTTACCTAGGAACTGGTAAGAATAAGAATGAACCCTGCTCATTTTAGCCCTGGAATAGCACTTTTTCAACTACTGACAGTTTTACAATCACAGCTTCCAACGTCACATAATACTTGTGAAAGAGTGTACGCTAAATTTTGTTCACATTGTGTTTATTTACTGTTTTTTAAAACTTCTGTCTGTTCAGAAACACTCTTGCGATCACTGTCAATGATATAGTGACTTGAAAACATGGGTCCATGAAACACAGGAATTTCAAAAAGAAATCTTTAAAAACAGGAAGCTAGAATTCTGCTGGTTGCATAACCATAATAATGATATAGCACATAGTGCAGATAGTGGGGTGTGGCATTTACAACACCACTGATGTAATGAAGGAAAGATTTAGGCTTGGGTTCACTTTGTTTTTCACTGAAACCTAAGATTCACCAGTCAGCAAAAGAGTTGAAGAGCAGGGAGCCTCTAAGACAGAATTTTGTTTTTTCTTCCTCACTTGAGCTTGAGAGGGGCAGACAGATGCATAGGATAAAATGAAACCAGTCCTCCTCATTGGGGGAGGGACATTTCAAAAAGGTGATTCAAGATCTAGTCTTCACCCAGAGTAAATCTTTTGTAAAACTAATGTTTTAATTCAAAGCCAAATACTTTGAATTACAAAAGGATGTAGTCCACTCTCCCTCCGGTCACTATGAGAACTACATTTAAACACAGAAGAAAGCCGAGTGAAATGGCAGAATATATTATAACCCTGCTAAAAAAAAAGTAAATCCATATTTATTTAAATCTATCTTGAACTTGAGACTAAGTATTAAAACCTAACATTCAATTATGAAGGATCCCTGGATTGCAAACATATATTTCACATGATATTTTTACCAGTTGATAAGATGAGGAGACTCTATAGTGCTGAGTCGGGACTCTGGATGTTACCGTAGGTTCAAAAGTTTGCTTAGTTCTGGGCAGCTGCTGTTAAATTTAACAATTAAAAATAACATCCTCATTCATCCTTGACTTATGACCATAATTGAGTCCAACATTTATGTTGCTAAGTAAAACAACTTGTTAAATGAATTTTGCCCCATTTTATAACCTTTCGTGCCACAGTTGTTAAATGAATCATTGCAGTTCTTAATTAAGTAGCACGGTTGTTAAGGAAATCTGGCTTCCCATTGACTTTGCTTGTCAGAAGGTCTCGAAAGGTCATCTAATGACCTAAGTCACTGCAATCATCATAGATCTGAATGAAGCATCCAAATTTTGATCATGTGGGGATGCTTCAACAATTGAAAGTGTGAAAAACAGCCAGATCACTTTTCCAGTGTTGTAACTTTGAACAGTCACTGAATGAATTATTGTAAGTCAAGGACTACCTGTATTTCCTAAACATTGGCTCTGGTGGTACTCATACCTGGTGATACTATGAGACTACATGATCTGCTTACAAAGATGGGTCTTGTACTTGATATGAACAAGCACAGGAAAGGATTGCCATTGTAAGAATTGGAAATTAAGTGTTATTTCAATGCAAATTTTAGCTGAATAAGAGATGTCATGTATTTTGTTCTGCAAATTCTCTCAGCAATATCATTGCAGGGTTATTGTGCAAATGTGAATTTTTACATAGTTCCTATATTTTTCAACTCACCTTGATCCAATACACTCAGAGCTGTGCTTGAAATATTGTATTCCTGGAACAAATAGTCCAAGATCCTCTACTGAAATGTATGATTTCTTTGTATTTTTTTTTCAGTTGTGAAATTTTTATCTTTTCCATCTACTGAGTTTTGCAAAAGTTGTAAATGGAAGATTGTGATTCTATCTATCTTGCTAGCTTTTTAAAAATCTTAACCAGTTCACCAGTATGTAGGTGAGGGATGAGACAAGCTTAATGGAGTTAGTTCACTATCTTGTTTGCTGCTGTATTATATAGGGAATCCCATGTCGTATTATGTTGCACTGCCAATCTGGGTTTGTTCCTCTGTTCAGTTTCATATAAAACAGTCTGTCTGTACTATAAATTGATTTGCTGTGTAGTTTGACATGAGAAAGTCATTTATTCCTCTGTTCAGTTTCATATAAAACAGTCTGTCTGTACTATAAATTGATTTGCTGTGTAGTTTGACATGAGAAAGCTCTTTCTTTTACAAAAGCAACTTTGGCTTTTATGTGAGCTGAGCATATTGTAAACAGGAATTTATATGAATTTCAGTATTGTGTTGGGATTGAGTGTATGTATATTTTAGATGCTGACCATATCTAAGTCCCAAATAGTTGCCATTGACCTGGATTGTATTTTCTAGCGTGGCCTTTTATATGGCATAACTTAATGTTGTTATTGGGGCGTCATTATTAAGATAAATAACTTTAGTTTGGTGTAATGTAGTTCTATAACAATAACTGAACTATCTTCTTAGAACAATCTTTAAAAGAGGTTGCAATCTTTCATATTTATATGAGCCGTGTGGCGCAGTGGTTAGAATGCAGCGCTGAAGACTACTTCTGCTGTCTGCCAGCTGCCTGCAGTTCGGCAGTTCAATTCTCACCGGCTTAATTTGATTCAGGTCAATTTTCACCGGCTCACCTTTCAACCTTCCAAGGTCAGTAAAATGAGGACCCAGATTGTTGGAGGCAATATGTTGACTCTGTAAACCACTTAGAGAGGGCTGTAAAAAGCACTATGAAGCGGTATATAAGTCTATGTGCTATTGTTATTCTATGAATAAATGCATCAATCTAAGGCATGAATTTAAAATTCTAATGCCTTTATTTAACTTTTCCTCAATAATGTATTTTCTAAGTTTATTCTTATTTTCTTCACAGTAACACATTTCGATATACTTTGGAAGCTACCAAATCCCTTCGCCAAAAACAAGGAGAAGGACCAATGACTTACTTAAACAAAGGGCAGTTTTATGCAATAACACTGAGTGAAGCTGGGGACAACAAATGCTTCAGATATCCTATCAGCAAAGTCAGGGTATGGCTAGTCTTGCATGTATACTAATTTATAATGTTGGTTGGCTAAAGACTTTTAATGTGTGTCCTTGTTTTCATTCTTCTGAAATGTGAATAGAGTTATAACAACCAGTCTCTTAATAGAAGCTTAAGCTCATTCTTCTCCAAAAAATTGTGAATCAGAAACCTGAAACTGAATTCTCAATACAAAATATAATGGACCACTATACCTGTCCTGGAATGCTAAATTATTGTAGGTATTTTCTGTTTCTTTGAAATGTTAAGGTCTTGTTTTGCAATTTAAGACATTTCTCTCTATATAAAAAAGTGATAACAAGAAGGATTGGGCAAAAGCTATTAGAGCTAGTAGAAAGTTCTCCTTCAAACCTATAACTTAAATAGAATAGAATTCTTTATTGGCCAAGTGTGATTGGACAAACAAGGAATTTGTCTTGGTGAAAATGCTCTCAGTGTACATAAAAGAAAAGATACATTTGTCAAGAGTCAAGAATCATCAGGTACAACATTTAATAACAGTCATAGGGTACAAATCATACTAGGAAACAGTCAATATAAATCGTAAGGATACAAGTGACAAAGTTACAGTCATACAGTCACAAGTGGGAGGGGAGGGATGATAAAGAGTGATGAGAAGATTAATAGTAATAGTAGTGCAGACTTCGTAAATAGTTGGACAGTGTTGTAAGAATTAGTTGTTTAGCAGAGTGATGGCATACGGGGAAAAACTGTCCTTGTGTCTAGTTGTTCTGCTGTGTAGTACTCTATAGCGTCGTTTTGAGGGAAGGAGTTGAAACAGTTTATGTCCGGGATGTGAGAGGTCTGTAAATATTTTCACAGCCCTCTTTTTGACTCTTGCAGTATACAGGTCCTCGATTGAAGGCAGATTGGTAGTAATTGTTTTTTCTGCAGTCCTAATTATCTTCTGAAGTCTGTGTCTGTCCTGTTGGGTTGCAGAACTAAACCAGACAGTTATAGAGGTGCTGATGACAGACTCAATAATTCCTCTGTAGAACTGTATCAGCAGCTCCTTGGGCAGTTTGAGCTTTCTGAGGTGGCGCAGAAAGAGCATTCTTTGTTGTGCTTTTTTGATGATGTTTTTAATGTTAGGTGTCCATTTTAGATCTTGTGATATGATAGAACCTAGAAATTTGAAGGTCTCTACTGTTGATACTGTGTCTAGTATTGTAAGAGGTGATAATATGGGAGGGTTTCTTCTAACATCTACCACCATTTCTACGGTTTTGAGTGTGTTCAGTTCCAGATTGTTCTGGTTACACCACAAGACAAGTTGTACTATCTCTTGTCTGTATGCGGATTTGTCGTCATCTCAAATGAGACCACTCACTGTTGTGGTTCCCAAAATTGGCAACTAAGGCATGTGGACTTCAACTTCCAGAATTCCCCAAGCAGCATGGCTGGCTGAGAAATTTTGGAAGTTGAAATTCTCATGTCTTAAAGTATTAAGACAGCAGCATCTCTTCAGAGTTCAATAGGGCTGTTTTGAGATCCTTTCTCAGTTTATTTATAGCCATAAATATGATTATATGTGTATGGATATAAGTTACTTGTGCCAATATTGCTTTCAGACCATCTGAAAGCATTAGTTAAAAAACAGTTTACCCTATGAACACAAGCAAATAAAAATGCATCTTTCTTTGGGTATTGAGAAGACATCATATTTGATACCAAACAAGTTTTTCTAAGTATAAGGTACCATAGAGAAAAACACACCTCCCTGTTATCAGTTAATTCAGTAATTCCAGAAGGTATGGAGACTTGGAGAAAAATATGTAGTGATAATGCTAAAATTCAGGCAAGTTTCAATGGAAGATGATGGTCCTTTACTTCTCCAAGATATTTGGAGCTCTAAATATGAAACATGGGTGATGGTAAGCCACAGACCACAATCATAATTCTGCCATTCATTTACTAAGTTTTACAAGAAGGAATTATTGTGGTTTGTTATCTGGGAATAGCCAGACTTGTTTCTAATTTGAATTGGCTGAGTGCCATGTGGAGCTGGTATTTTTGGTCTGTTGGCAGGGCTGGGACTTTTTTCAGCCCCCCCCCCTTTTTTTTAGCTGTTTAGAGGAATACTAGGCAATTCGATTTAACCACCAGTTCAGTGTTACTATGTGCTTCATAGGACATGACTCTAGGGCACTGTGAGAAATCCACCACTGTGGATAGTGGGTAATTCAGCAAGGAATTTTTTGTCCAGTCTAATCAATTCAGATGGTCAAAGAATCTATCTCCAAGGAAGGCGGTGGGCTCTGCTTCACTGGACATGTACAAACAGGTCTTAAAAAGCAGACCCTGAGGGATGCTTTAATGTGGACATCTGAGGTAAGGAGGTGATAGGACTCAACAAACTTAATTGTCTTTTTCAATCCATTTCTGTAAATCAAGGATTGCTTAATTGTTGTTAGGCTTTATGAGTGTCTTTCTTTGTTTCTCTTGACATGGGAGCTTGGTTGCCTCATGATAAACAAGGTACATTAACAAAAAGCATTGGAGGCATGACTGGTTGATGGAGTTTTAAACTGAGAGTATCAGCCTGTCAACACTCAACTGGATTCAGATCAACCATGGCAGGTGCCAATATTGGAAATATAAATGGGACCTGGTTGATAATCCTGATTGTGATGGTGGGAACGTCCCACAAACTTTACATCATATTATGATGAATGCCTCTTCAGAAGGCTCCCTGGATCTCTGCGTGAAATGTATCATCTCGAGGGTACTACTGTCCAGGGGTTAAATGATCTAGATATCCAGCCATAAACTTAGCCACCCAGTAACTGCTCACACATAATTCAGTTTTATACATAATTTTACTCATCACTCATGCTGTGGGTTTTTTAAATAATTCACTGCGCTGATGTTTTATATTTTGATAGACATTTAATATGTTGTTTTGTGTATTTTTATGCATTAATGCCATATTCTGTTTCACCATGTGAAATATATATGTGTGTGGGGAGGGGCAGGCATGCATTTATATTGCTTTGCATTTTGGTTTAGTGACCATAACCAATTGATGATTGTTGTGTGGTCTTTCTAGAGTGTGATCATGGTTGTGTTCAGCGAAGATAAAAACCGGGATGAGCAGTTGAAGCACTGGAAATATTGGCATTCACGGCAGCACACAGCTAAACAGAGGGTCTTGGACATTGGTGAGTGATGAAGTAGCCCTGTGTCCTGTCTTCACCGATGCTTTTTACTCCCTTAGAAACTAGCAACTGGAAAACCAATTCACATCCAGAAGTGAATTTTATTCTGAAGTTGGAATATCCAATTGGCAAACCAAGTCTGGTTTGGTATGCAACAAGGCTGAACTAAAATATTTTTCATGCTTGGTACAAATTTACAATATGGAACTTCCTTTTCACCTCTTGAAAACCACAGTATAATATTTTTGGGAGAATAAGTATTCAGACTAAGCAAAGACTACATCTTCAAAGCTTAAACTAAATTTATTTTACGTGTTAAATATTTTAGATGAACTAGTAATATAAAAACAACTTGTGGTGAAAATAGCAGAATAAGCTAGTCTTGTGTTCAAAGTTAATTCAGAGCTGCAGATTCCAGTTTCCCAGAATTTCTCATCAGTTTTCTGTCACCAAACTGCCCACTGAGATAACTTATTCTCTTTCATTACCATGGTAACCAGTCACACACATTCCTATATATCTTTTCAACTGGCCATGATGTTGCATTTGACATCAGTTTTTAATGCTCCTGATTTCTTCCCGATGAACTGGGTTCAGAGGTGGTATTCAGCAGGTTCTGACCAGTTCTGGAGAACTGGTAGCGGAAATTTTGAGTAGTTCAGAGAACCAGCAAATACCACCTCTGACTGGAGATTTTACAATATCCTTCATCAAGCCATGTCCACAGAACCGGTAGTAAAAAAATTTGAATCCCACCACTGACTGGGTTGTATCTCATTGGTAATTCTCGGAGTCCTTGTCCAAGACATTAGGAGATGTCTAAACTAAGAAAGAATATCTTTACATGGCCATCCTTCCTAATCTCACTTCTCCTGCTCTCCCTATTTACTCTTAATTTACTTCCTCCATCTTTCAAAATAATTGACAAAAGATTGTCAGTGGTTGGTATTAAATTATGGTTCATCCGTAAATCATTTTATCTCATGTGGTTATGCAGTTTAGTGCTTGCAGACCACCTACTGAAAAGCAGAATTTTATAAAGCCTTTTAAAGTAATTAAATTAAGTAAATTAAATTTAAATAATTTTCAAACTTTTGTTGAATTTTGACCTATTCAACTCAGGAGGTAGTGGTGGCAGCAAATGATGGAATTGCATTGCAATGTTACATACATGTATTAAAGCAGTAGAATTGGCAGTGTAATGGAATGAAAGGGTTTGATCTTCTGAAAATCTTTGGTCTACCATCTGTCTTCTTGGTACTAAAACCCAGGCTGGTAACATTAGTATCCATTGTGCCACCAGTCCTTTTTCCATTTCTTTGCCAGATTGAGATATTTCATAAGGGAGCAGAGTTGTATTCTTTTTGTCTTTAAAAACAGAAAATTCTCGGACTTCCGGTTTGTCGGCTTCGGCAGCAGCAGGGATTCGCGATACTGCGCGATCCCTGCGGCGCTAGCTATCTTGGTGCCTCTGATCTGGATGGGTCTGGAGGCTAAGGCTTCCCCTTAGAGGCAGCCGAAGATAGGAGGGATCCGGACAGGGGGTTGGGGTTTTCGCAGACCCCTTCCCCACCTGGCTTAACCCTCTTTTCTCAAGGCGGTGGAGCGGCGGTCAGCAATGGCCGCCACAAAGAAGCTGACAGCTGGATAAGATTGTGCTGGAGGAAGAAGGAGAAAGTTCTGAAGCGAAAGTTTTTTGGCTGAACTGGACTATAAGATACAATTAATATCCTGAAAATCCTGATTTTTTGAAAGATACTTTGTTTCCAGAAGAGATTTACAAGCGGCGAGTGAAAGTGCTTAAAGAGAAAGTTTACTCTCCTTCCACATGGATTTAACAAATGGATATTGAAAATCCTGCTATTTTATAGAAGGTAAAAATTTAAAGCTTTCTGTTATAAGTGGGAAGGGAGAGGACAAAAGGAAAATTTATATTAAGATTTTGTTGGAGGAGATGCCTGGAAGATTTTGAGATTGGAAGTTAATTGCAATAAGACTTTAAAATACAGATTGGGTTTTTTTTTTCCCTTTTCAATTGATATTATCCCAGGAAGAAAAAGTGTGAAGGGAAGAACTTTGTGCTCTGTTTGGACTGTTTGATGACTTTGGGACTTTGGGAATTGTTTTAAGCCTTGAATTATCTTGGTTGTTTTAAGAAGAAAAAGAAGGAAAAAAAGAAGGAAAAAAAGGTTTATAATGACTTTATCTGTTGATGAACTGAGAGAGGAATATGGCAAAATAAAGAAAGAAGGAAAAGACACTGTGAAAGAAATTTTTCGCTTTTTAGAAATGGCACTTGCTACTTATCAGAAAACACAACAATTGATGGAGGAAGCAGAAGAAGAAGAAGAAGAAGAAGAAGAAGAAGCCATCTTTAATGAATCTACAAAGTTTATTAAGAAAGGAAGGAGAAAGAGAGGAAGGAAAAAGGACACAAGACTTAAAAAAACATCCAAGAAAGTGAAAAATAAGATGCAAAATCAATACAATGTTAAAAAGCAAAAGAAAAGAGAAATACAACAGAGAGGGGAAGTTAAGGGGGGTAAAAAGACCAGATGGGATAGGATAGGGAGGAAGAAGGGGGAAAAAAGCCATAAAGGTACGAAACAAGATGTGCAAAAGAAATTTTTTTTTTAGGGATAAAGGGTAATATAACTTTGTTTTAGGATTCTGCAAGGTACATAAGATAGTATTGTAGTATTTGTATTAGAAATAGAAAATTAGAATTTTATAAGATTTGAGTAAAGATTAAAACATTAAAGGTTTAATAACTTAATAAAATATTAAAAGGAATGTTTAAAATATTTAGTTTAAGTATAGAGTTCAATTGACTATTGTGTGGATGTTAGTATGAATATATTATTGTAGTATTTTGTTTTTGAGATAGATAATTGGAATGTTATGAGATTTAATCTTTAATTATATATTTAATTACTTTGTGGATTTATTATTTTCTTTCTCTAAATAGTATGTACTAAGCAGAATCAGATAGGGAACTAGGTGTTAACTTAAATGTTAATTTAGGGGTGCGATGGAAAGGCATCATACTTCGATTAGTGATTTCAGGAGAAATCTTTTTTTTTTTTTTTTCTTACTATAGGGAATGAGATAAATAGATAATTGGAAAAGAATGGACAAAAGATACAAGTATAATGATTCAAACTAAGATATAATAAATAAAATAGAATTAAGAAGAGTGGAAAGCAGGGAGAAGTTATAATGAAGATATAGAATGGTAAACAAGATAGGTAATGGCATATAAGATGAATATGAATTTAATTGAAGTCCATACAAAGAGAGGTAATCCGGGGCCAAGCTACTTTTTTGAAAAAGAAGTTTTATTTTTTGTGTTTTGTGTGTGTATGTTTATTTGAGATTTAATAAAACCTTGGAGGAAAGCGAGAGGAGAATAATTGCAAACAAGACAGAGGGAAATATGAATAGGATGACTAAGTGCAAAGAGAAGTAATGAGAAATTTGCTAAAAGATATTTAAGTGGAAATGGGATATATTAGAATTGTATTATATAAAACAATGTTTTATCTGCCTTGTAAAAAATTATAATGGAAAGAGGTTTAATGATGTTTTGTTTGTCTTTAAAAATTAATAAAATTTGTTTAAAAAAAAAACAAAACAGAAAATTCTCATTGTTCAAGTTTCCCGGCAGCTCATGCAAATCATACTTCTTATTAAAGAAATTTATAAGAGATTATATGTTAATATTAGCTACTTGAATAGTGTTTTTCATTCTCTTTCAGAGGTAATCAGCTTTTCCTGATTCTTCCAAACTTTTGTCAGATTTTAACTTTCATTAATGCTGATCTTAACTGGAGCATACAGAAGATTACTTAGTTGGTCTTCTGTGTTCCATTTACTCAATTGTGTAGTATTCCAGTATTTTGTATGAAATAAGATCTCTCTTTAGAGTTCTCCATTGCTCAGCTTAAGAGTTAAAATCCAACTTTTGTTTTTTGTTTTTACCTAGTTTAGAATCATAGGAATTTGGGACTTCATCCAGTGCAACCCCATGCTTAATGTATAATCTATATTTAGAATGTGATTTCAAGTAGTCCTCGACTTATGACAAAAATTGAGCCCAAAATTTCGGTTCCTAAGTGAGACATTTGTTAAGTGACTTTTACCCCATTTTATAACCTTTCTTATCGTAGTTGTTAAATGAATCACTGCACTTGTTAAATTAATAACACGGTTGTTAAGTGAAACTTCCCCATTGACTTGCTGGTTAGAAGATTGCAAAAGGTGATCTTATGACCCTGGAACACTGTAACAGTCATAAATATGAGTTAGTTGCCAACCATCTGAATTTTGATCACATGACCATGGGGACGCTTAACTGTTGTAAGTGAAAAAATAGTCATAAGTCACTTTTTTCAGTGATGTTGTAACTTTGAATGTTCATTAAATGAAGTGTTATAAGTCAAGGACTACCTGTACAGTATCTCTGACAAAGCCATTGCTTAAATACTTCCAAGAAGGGAGAAGCCACCATTTCAAGGGCACCTTGTTCTTTTCTTCAACAGCTCTTGGTTTTTTTCTCCTAAACTTCTCTGCCATTTTATACCAACTGATTCTAGTTCTGTGTCAGGGGTTCTTGAATTTGAATTGGTACCCTTCAGTCTCAAGGGACTATGGTATCATGCTATGAAACCAGTAACTGCCACTTCCCGTGTTGTTTCAATGCTGGGTAATTTAATATGGAGGATAAACTGTTACCCAAGCATCAGATTCCCCCCTCTCCACATCACTGAAATAGTCTAATGGAATGGCAGAGCTAATATAATTAGTTCCAGCTGCGTCGCAGGAGTTACCAGAACGGGATTGTACACAGTCACGAACTGCTTCCAGGCCTCCGGCTCCAGATTTTGCCTTGAGGTTGGCTCCTGAAGCCTTTTCCAATGATAGATATAGCCACAAGGTAGTGGAGGTTTGAATTCAGAGTTTATCTTCTCCTAGAAGATGGTTCTACTGTTTTATCTGCCGTTGGGGCATTAGGCCCTCTTCCGTCTTCAAAACTGTTGAACATCTTCTCCTGTAACTCTGGAAAGGGGCCCTTATGAGGTGCTACCAGCCGGGCCAGCTGGACCAAGGTTTTTAAAGGAAGTATTACTCATTCCAGGACGCCTGGCTTGGCTCCATTTTGCAGTGTCCATTATCTTCCATTGTCTGGGGTTCTGCTTGATAGCTATTTGAAGATTGTTACCATATCTCTCCCTTTCCCCGAATCTTCTCTACTTTGGCCTTGTCTTTCAGTAATTGCTTGTTGTTTGTATAAGAATTATGGGGTAAGAACCTTAGCAAAATACTATAAGGAGAAGATATTCAAACACTTAAGCTCTATGTTTGGAGCATATTCATAATGTGAAGATAAAATCTCTTTAGCTACCTTTCTGGGATTTTAGGAGGAAACAGATGGGGATTGAATTGCCAATCGTTTATCCATTTCCCAAGTAGCTTTCAAAACTTCTTTCGCGGTCTTTGAAAAGATGGTAAGCAAGTAAAAAGAAAAATGCATCTAAACTTTAGGAATCAAAGTTTCTTATAGCATTATCAGATAAAAATCAGTTCGGTTACCAATTATATATTTTAACTGCTGGTCAAACCTGAAAAGTGACCTGCATCAGTTTATTATGAATATTGAGCAATTAAGGCACAATATCTGAGGTAAACAGCCTTAAAAAATAAGTTTTTCTAACAGGAAACCTTCATTATTTTAGTTTGCAGATTTCTGAGCAAAGTGTCCCATCTGCTCAGAGAGCTTCCATAAAGGCACTTGTGCCATGCAGGTTTCATGCCAAGAGATGGAGAAGTTTACCATCTCTTGTTTCTGGGCCATTTTTTTTTAAAAAAAAAAACACAATTCTTCTTACAGAATCATGTAAGGAACATGTTTAGACCACCTATTTGCATCAACATGCAAAGAATATGTTTAGTTTATTCTTAAGTTGGATGTTGTGTCAGGGTCTTAAAGAAGGGTTTGGATCGAATAGATTAATATTAATATTCGTAGTTTAGGATTATTAATTTTTTAATGTTCATAATGCTGAATGTAAAAGTAGCTTTGCAAAATTATATGTTGTCAGTGACATCTGGTGGGCCCAGGATGGTGGTAGTGTATTCACCCTGGCCCTCTATCTTTTGGCAGCTGCACTGTCTTCCAGTAAGTTTTCCCGAATGAAATTCAAAGTACTGATGGTCATTTTTAAAGCTCTACGTCAGTGGTGGGATTCAAATTGTTTTACCACTGGTTTGGTGGGTGTGCCTTGGTGGGTGTGCTTTGCCTAATGCCGGTGTGCAGCTTTCCCCACACTAGCTGAGACCTGCAGTGCCAATCAGTGGAGAGGATAAAGAACAGAAAAGTGCAGGGGCAGGAGGGAGGGCCAATCCTCCATTTTCCTCTTCTTTTTCCTCTTGGCTGATTGTCAGAGGCTTTTTTCCCATCCTCTCAGCTAACCGTCGGATTTTTTTTTACCACCGGTTCAGTGGAACCGGTCCGAACCGATAGCATACCATCACTGCCCTACATGCTTTGCGACTAGAGCCCTCTAATATCTCTTCTAGTGATTTCCACCCATCTTACAGGTACAGATACACCATGGGTATCTGCAGGATGTCCAGGCATAGTGGACATCCTCCAGATACCCATGTTGAAATAGTGTTAACCTGGTGGGCCTTGGACACATACCTTGGTGCTTGCCCTGTGAAACAATCTTTCTCCTACCCCCAAATTGGGATGGTCCTGACTCTATTGGTTTTCTGGAAGGCTATGAAGAATTGTGTTTTTTTCCAGGCATTGGGGCTAGGATGCTAGCAACAGGAGTTTGGCATGAGTGCCCCTGATGGATGATTATAAATATTGTATTGGACCTCGAGTTGCTTTGTTTGTGTTTGGTTTTAATGGAAACTTTTATTTTGCCTTGTTTTTGCTTGCTTTCTACCCAACATTTCTTTGGCTAGACGGCAGCCATATAAATTGGGTGTGTGTTGCAAAATGACCCAGGGGAACAGATAGTATTAGAAAGAAGGCTAGAAGAAGAACTATAGGAGGAAGAGGAAGATGTAGGAAAGGGGAGATGGAATGCTTCCTACTGGAATTCAGAGTTTTACGTTGATGATGTTGATCCTTGATATTTTTTTTATCTAATATTTTAAATTATCCTGCAGTAGTAGTGGCTTAACTTCATGATACTATTCTGTGTTGTGAAGGATTCCCCTCCCCTGCTTTTTTACTAGGTAGATTAAAAATCTGATACATGGACATCTGGGAACCTTCCTCTCAAAGAAAACCAGGTCTATTTGAAAATTCCACATATCCCTGTGCCCTCTGGTGTGTTCGACATTCCAAGCAGATAGTTTCACTTGTCCAGACAGCATCCCAGCCTTTCAAAAGAGTCTGCCCTAAATTCTTTCTTTTTAGTCAGTCAGAGATTTCTATCATGTAAATACTATGGGGAATATTAATCTTTTAATCTTCTCCTAAATAGAATGTATGTGTTTCATTTTTTTTTAATAGAAAATGAAGAAGGGACAAGAGACTGGGCAGAAGTTTTTCACATGTTCATTATAGAAACGTACACTTTGCTTGCATGAGGTCTTTTTTATGAAGTTAAATTAGTTTAATTCTGTAATTCTTTTCTTCCAAAAATATTCACCATAGGTGGTGAACCTATGGCACACATGCTGGAAGTGGCATGCAGAGCCATACTGCTGGCACACAAGCACTTGCCCAGAAAAGGTGTACTGCGCATGTGCGCGTCCCGCCTGCCCGACAGCTGATTGTTGGGTATCTGGCGCGCATGCGTGGGGGTGCAGCAATGCGCAGGAGACACTTGTGCATGCGCAGAAGCGCACAGCGTCGGTTGTGTGGGTTGCATGTGCATGAGCAGGAGGCATGGGGGCGTGCGCGCATTGCCTTCTGGGTGATGGCACGCTAGCACGAGCAGGCAAGCATGCATGCAATTATTGGCACGGGAATCCAAAAACGTTAGCCACCACTGCTCTAGACCATGATTAAGAGATCAGAATCAGTCACACAGAGCGTTCATGTTTTTCTCCCCTTCCAGCCAAACTAGATTGGCACAAAACTGCATTTTGGAAAGCTGTCCAGGTGTGATGAGGTTTTTTTCTGTCTTCAACCCATGAACAATTTATTTATTTGTTACAAGCCTTTGCATTGGGAGTGATTCCTGATGGTTGGCGATATAAATAAGCCATAAACATACAATAGCCTCAGAATATGCAACAATAAAACTGTAAAAACAGTAAAAGCATAGCAATAATAGAACTAAAAATAAAAATAAAAGAACAGTTACAAGCACCACCCCAAACTAAGCATAATAACATTGACTCTCAAAGTCCTTTTTTTATAGCCTTGCAAACCACAACTGCTCTATCACTTGAAGTTATTCTTCAAGGTGGGGACCATTGTAGGAAAACGGTGTCTTTGTGGAGTGAGTTGTTGCATCTCCCTAATCTGGACTAGCCCACAGGACAGTCTAGTTCCACCTGGAGCTAACTAGAAGCCAAGGCATGTTGTACTTTATAAGTTAAAACTAATATTTTGAATGGTGTCATAGAAACTACTGAGGGCTACAGCAGTGCCTACAGTGAAGGTCTTATATGGCTGCATCTGTTATCACAGCTATGGTAGTATAGTGGTTAGAACTACAGGCTACTTCTGCTGACTGCCCACTGCCAGCAGTTTGGCAGTTTGATTCTCACCAGCTCAAGGTTGACTCAGCCTTCTACCCTTCCGAGGTGGGTAAAAGGAAGACCCAGATTGTTGGGGGCAATATGCTAACCCTGTAAACCGTTTAGAGATGCCTGTAAAGCCCTGTGAAGTGGTACAGTATATAATTCTAAGTGTTTTGCTTGCTATTGCTATCACACATTAGTATCTAGGCTGCTGCATAATGCAAACTGCAAACTTGGAAGGCAACGCTACATATAGAGCTTTGTAGTAGTCCAATTTACTGGTGAGGAAAGCATGTGTTATTTTTGCCAGGGTCTGCTACTCCAGGTGGTGCCTCTTCTACTTCTTTTACTCATGCTATGTTTTCTCTCTTCTACTCCTGAACAATATGCAAGATTTTATTTTTCTACTTGTTCACCAATAGTGAATATTTGTAGAACATAAGTGCAAAGAGAAAGGACAGCTGGCATCTCTTATTACATTTTTCAGTGAGATTGCAAACACTATTTAAAGATAAATTTAGTTGACATCTACAGTTGATTGGTGCCAGTTCAGAAAAAAAATCCTCTCTTTTTTTGTCTTTTATTAATGGTTGAATTCTGCACACTTTCCCAGGACAATTATTTGTTCTATAATTAACTCTCCCAATAAAATATTGGCTAATATAATACAATCAACCAAAATTAATACCAGGCTGGCATAATTACACTAATAAGTGGGAACCTCGTTACTGTAATCTTTCAAGTATAGTACCAACTTTGAAAAATGCTTGTATTGTTTTGAAAATGTTGATGTTGGCAAATGGAGCCAGAATTGCAATACTAAATTACAAATCATAAATAACTATATATACAGTATACATATACATATATATGTATATTGGAATGTAAGGACAAATGTCTGCATTTTATATAAGCATCTGTGGTCTTTTTATTGTTTGTTACAGCTGATTATAAGGAAAGCTTCAACACCATTACAAATATTGAAGAAATTGCCTATAATGCTGTATCATTCACTTGGGATGTTAATGAAGAGGCAAAGGTAAGATCTGTCAAAAATGCATATCTTTTGTAGGGTAACATGCAGAATTGTTTCGCAAACAAAACATAAGGCACTATTTTGCACTTGTGGGGGAGGAATAAAGCCAATTGTATACCACCAAAGGCTCTTCAGTAAATCCAATTTGTTGGACAGATATTTTTAAGTATCATTTCTGTTTGCTCCTGTAACATAACCAACATTGATGGAACATTTGTAAAATGTGCAATGTATCGGAAGAGTTCAATATTACCTCTTAGTTGTCTCTTCTGCAGGCTAAATATATGCACTTCATTCAATTTTCCTCATAGAAACTTTTCTTCAACATTGTTTTGGTTCTTCTCTAAACATATGCCAGTTTGTTGGTATTGCTTTATTTGATCATCATTGCTTTACCTCACACAGAAATCGTTTGGGTCCTCATCCTTGTGATGCACTCTTATACTATGGAGTCATAAGTGAATCTGACACCTGCATCATATCAATCATTCCTATACAGTTCAGAATCTTCCACAACCATCCGGAATAATATTGTAGGGAAAATACTTCCATGGAGACAGAAATGAGTTGATAAATCAGATTGTATATGTGGTACTACTGTGTCCCCAGATACTTCCTTAATTCTTAACTGAGTTCTTTTTTGTATCATTATGGTAAAAAATAATTAGGACAATATGTTGCAGTCCATTGACCTTTATGTATTTATAGCAATACCATAGGGTCTTACTAGGATATCGCCCAGTTCATCTGGGCGAAATTGTGTGCCTTGTAGCTATGATCATGGGGAAGCCATTTTGTAAAAGTCTCTTATGGCAGCTATTTGCCATGTGCAAGCTATCATGTGTCCAGCCCTTGGAAAGCAAACAAAAAACAAAAAACCACCTCTTACACACACTCCAAATCAGGGGTGGGATTCTACCTGGTCGGACCAGTTCTATAGAACCGGTTGTTATGATTCTGCCCAGTTTGGAGAACCAGCAAATTGTGCCACTGGCTGGCCCCTCCCCTGCCCTCCCAACCCACTCCTTACCTGGCATGTGTGCCATCAAACTTGCCTGCTAAGTTGCTATTTTTCCTCGCCCCCCCCCCTACCATCAGCTGTTCTGCTGTGCTGGGAGATTTAGGAGCGCTAGAAAGCAGGAAATCTTTGGATTTCTTGATTTTTAGCTAATCTAAAAGCAGAACTGAACCTTCCTTAGAATTGAAGCTTCTATTTTTCAGTATTTTTCAGACTCAGGTAGCAGATTGCAGATAGATAAATCTCTAAGTGAATCTGTGATTCTGTGAGCAACTCAATCTGCCTGCCTGCTTTGCCTGCTTTGGCAAAAACTCAATCTGCCTGCTTGCTTTGCCTGCTTTTGGGTAAAAGTTGCTCTTTTTTAAATAAAAAATTAAATATTTACATAAATATTTACAATATTTACATACAAGCTACACCTAGCCAGTCACGTGACCACCAAGCCACGCCCAGTCAGCAAGCCACACCCATCTAGTCACATGACCACTAAGCCATGCCCACCAATTAGGCCATGCCCACAGAACCGGTTATTAAGAAATTTGAATCCCACCCCTGCTCCAAATCCTAAAATATGCTCCCTGTACTTAGCAGCTATTCTTTCTGAATTGCTGCTGCCTATAGGTCTTAACCTATTATGCAGTATCATTGCTGTCAGGCCTAACAAACCAAGAACGGTATAAGGAGTTACTTCTTAATAGTCTCTTTGTTGTTGTTGTTCACCTAGAGGCAGAATCTTGCCAAACTAAAGAGATTATCTGCAAAACTATAGATATACTCTGTGAATTGCTAGGGAGGGTCCATTCTTACTCTTTTCCTGTCCACCAGACATTCCAAACTACACTATCTCTTTGCCCTCTGGCAAGAATCCCACCCTCCTATGATTCCAAATTATAGCCCCACACAAAAAGAGTGCTTTAGATTAGGCCTGCTCAATACAGGATCCATGGGTTGGGGTTAAGCCTAGACTTCCAAGCCCCACTGTGGCACTGCCACAGCTCCACTAGCCACCAAACAGCTTTGCAGCCCACAATAATTTCTAATTTATCAGTCCTTTTTATTCTCCAAGTTATTCAGGCCTGCTTTCGATTACTTTAATGGGATATGTACATCATGTTATGAATGCATACATTCCATAATTGATAAGAAGCGTGTATCTGTACTTGAGTACAAAATATAAAAAGTGGAACAGCAGAAGTCCAATTAATTCATGAGAAAATTGTTTCTCATTCCTTTCTACCAACAATTTTTTTTTTGCCATCTTGTCAGTTAGTATGCCCTTTAATATCAGGATGTAAACAACTGGTGTTACCAGAGAAGTATGCATCATATATAATGCTGAGAGATACTTTTGGAAGGGTAATGTTTCTGATCTTTTCAAAATTTCAGGACTTTGTTAAGCCAAAATGTCGTTCTTGTGTCAAAAGAAACAGGGAATGTCTCCAGCATGTAATTGTTGAATGAGAGTTCCTGTATTAATTTTCTATGATAAGATTCAGATTAAATGCATACTGAAGCTGATTAGTTCACTAGAATATAATTGTCCATCAGATCTTTAGGTGCTGTAGATTTTCCTAATCTTGTTCAGCTGTGCATGTCAGTGAGAAAGATGTATATTTCATTTCCTTAGAATAATCCTCTTAATACAATTGTAACAATACATTTTCTCTTAATGACTGATATTTTAAAAATGTGGATTAAAACTAGAAACTATATATAAACACAACCATCAAAATATTTATTGGAGAATGCACTTCTTTAAAACACATTTAAAATAAAATGTTTTGCCTAATACACCATGACGTCTTTAAGAAAGGCAGTGTACACACGATTGAACAGGTGTGCGATCAGTTTTTGCAGCAAATTGAATTTTTATGTAGTTGCTGGGGTGTGGTGCAGGGTTACAGAAGCTGCTTAAATGAAATGTAAACATTTGTTGTAGACATTGGTATTGAGCTGAAACAAAGGCGTTGAATTTGTCTGGAATTTATAAGGGGGGAAAAAAGCTATAAAATTGTGCTAACTCTGCATAAAGAACTTGTATTTATTTAATCCCCTACTCTAGCCTGAGTTGAGTATTCTGAAATAACTACATAACATAAAAACAAACAAACAAATATACAATTAGTACTTGAATTTGTTTCACAATTAATATGTTGCCAATAGGATCTTTTTGTGGCATGGAATTCTCTTAAACTAAGTATCTGTTCTCTCTCCTATAAATAGGGTTCTTATTTTTAAGCCATAAGGTTATTAAGATTATCACTAGCTATCTTATATTAGACAGGTCTTCAGAGTCTATGGACATTATTGGTATCAGCTCTTTGAGGTGGACCACGTCAAGGAAACAGACTCAGTAATTTTGATATTGGCTATAATAATGGAGTCACCAAAACTTGATGGTGTTTTCTTTCCCTCCCTCTTACATCTCAGGAAATTGTGGGGAGGAGGTCATAAGAAGTTAACCTACATTAGTTCACTGGCATAAATTTTGATGCTTCTCTCTTGTGCCTTTTATTATTCCCTGTGGCTGACAATAGCTTTGTAAGATCTTGTACATTTGCATCTATTTGGCTAAAACTAGGTAATTGAACAAACCCTGAGCCCGATGACTATATTCAGCAGGAACAAGAAAATACTTGATCCTAGATTGTTCACTTTATCTAAGATCTGTTATCTGCATCCAAATATTTGTTTCCTGTGTTGTATCCTTAAAAGAGACAACTAATCGCAACCAGGGTGATTTCCCTGCTGCGTTTGATGATCATTTGAGATGGGGACTTCTTGGTTAATGGCATACCAATGAGAGAAGCTCTTCTTCTCTGGAAAAATGCAGTTCATCCCCACATTGACACGTTTTCATGGTGCCATACATTCAGACAGTTTTCTAGCAATATGACCCAAAGTCAAATGTATTACAGATGGCCCTTGACTTATGACCACAACTGGGATCAGAATATCTGTTACTAAGCAAGGTGTTTGTCAAGTGAGTAGTGCTAATTTTGTGAACTTTTTTCCATGGTGGTTAAAAGCAAATCACTGAAGTTGTTAGGTGAATCATGTGGTCGTTAAACAAATCTGGCTTTGTTTGTTGGAAGACCCCGGAAAGATATACAAATGTCAATCATGTGACCCTGGGATACTGCAACTGTCATAAATACATGCCAGTTGTCAAGCACTCCAATTTTGATCATTTGACCATGGAATGCTGCAATGACCGTTAGATCCAGTCGAAAGTCACTTTTTTCAGTGCCGTCAGAATTTCAAGCAGTCATTGAACGAATGGTAATAAGTTGAGGATTACCTGTACTTAAATCAAGGGCTTGTTGCACCATCACTCTGAGTAGTTTATGTAGGTTTTACTTTTATTTTACTCACTACTTTGGAATATTTTAAACTAAAACTTCCTTCTTCCTCTGAAACAAGTTTTGATTATATGGTTTCTTGCTGTTCAGATATAATTTTAAGGAGAGTTCTGTGCAGATCTTCATAAAACTTTATTAGAGAGCATGCATGAAAAGCTTCTAGGAAATGTTATGCAGGTGTGGAACAGATAAATTTCTTGATTCAGTTCCAATCAAACTCCAGCTAAAGGGAGGCAAGATGAGAGGATGAGCACTAGAGGAAAAATTGTTGGAGGAGATAAGCACCTAGTCGGAGTGGAATGAGAAAGCTTCTCTCCCTAAACCGCTGTCTATGCCTTTGGTGTCTCCTGGATATACTGCATTACAACTGCCATCATTCCCACCTACCAGAGATGGGAAGGAGAGGAGACATACTCCAATCACCTCTGTTGCCAGTGCAGGAGAATCATCTAGTCCTCTGTAGCAATTTTGTAAAGCTATAAACATGGGCCTCTGAAGAACTTTAATTTAAGCACTGTGCCACTTTGAAAAAAAAAATACTTCATTGGGATTTTAGGATGTTATTTGTTTCAGAGTGTGTCATAGATACTTTAAGTGTTATTAAACAGTATAGTTTGCAAGCT